ACTTGTATTTTACAAAAATAAGAAAATAAATCTATGAAATGAAACTCTTCAAAATCTCTCAAGAAAAATATTCTACAGTAAGTCACAAGGGTATCTCTTTAGTTATTTAGACAACTCACCATTTCCACGATCTCGACTTCAGCCTCAATCCTGAGATCGTACAAGAACTTCTTCAGATCCTTTTTCATCTGGATCGAATTATCCTCCATCTGCGCGACCGTGAAGATCCTCATCTTGCAGTTTTTCCACGTGCGATGTTGCTTAAGCAGGAACGGTAGCAACATAAGAAGACCGCCGTCGTGAACGATCCACCAAACGTCGATATTGCCGACCACTTTTTCCGTCGAATCCGGGAAGAAGTTGATCCCCTTGGGAACGAGAAGAGCCATTCTAGCGGCGGCCACCGATCTGACGGTCTGCAGGAACACGCGCCAGGTCCTGTCCTCCTGCGGTTCTTGTTTCCAGCGATACGGCCATCCAAGAATTACAGTATTGGGCTTCATCCCACCGAGCCCAGTTGTTTGTACCAGAGAACTGACACCGTCGACGATATCTTTGGCCACGAGCACATCTACGAATCCTTTCACCTTCTCTTCAGTGATCGTCTTCCTTAAATTTACCTTCGCCGCCAGAGTCTTGCCGGTGTTCTGAATGTAATCACCGCCGATGCAGCTGACGCAGATGGTCAGACCCTTGCCGGCTTTCAGCTGACTTGCGAACGCGAACAGCTTCCGGTACTTAGGCACCAGGTCGTCGGTAAGCTTGGCTAAAATTAGAATCTGCGGCCGCCAGTTCTTCGTGTGCGGCGGACCTTCCTCTAATCGCAGAAGCGAATACCGAGCAGCTGACAGAGCCAGACCACTGATACCGTCACCCCATTCCTTCTCGGCTCCTCGATATTCTATGTATTTGTAGATCAAACCGGCCATACCCATGGCCACCAACGCATAATACCAGCTGGTCATAAACATGATCGCGATGCAGAGAGACAGGCCGAGAAAAGAGAGGCTCCAGTGGTAATACTTGAACCTGGGCCGCCAATTAGGTGTTCTGAGGAGAGTCTGCACTGCGCAAGCGAGGTTCACGAAGCCGTAGCACATGAGAAAGAACATTGAGAGCAGGGGAGCCAAGTAGTCGACGTTGCCAAGAAGTATACCGCATTGGCAGATGATGACCGTCAATACGAGAGCTCTGGTGGGTTCTCCGCGGCTCGAGCTAACGGCGAATGGAGATAAGAACGGAATTATACTGTCCTTGGCGATGGCTTGAAGCAACCGTGGAGCGCCGGTCAGCGATTGGAGACCGGCGCCGAGGGTCGATAGGAAGGAACCGATCAGAATGACCCATTGATTCGGCCAGGCCATGTTGGCTACTACTAACTTTCCACCGATACTTTGCCCGAATTTGTCGCGGAGTAGAAGATTGTCTACTGTTCCAGCGAAGAGTAAAACGCTGGACAGGTATACGGTAGAAGTAGTCAGGATGGCGCATATCGTACCAATCGGAATGGATTTTTGGGCATCTGCGAGATCACCAGACCTGTTCGAGCCTGCCATGATTCCTGTGAACATAGATAAGAAAAAATATAAGTGTGAGAATATATATTGAGTTTCTAATGTCGATCCAAGGTGGAATCAAATAAATTACAAAGTGGCTATTAAAATTATGGCTTACCTGTGACAGAAGGGAAGAAGATACCAATGAGGATAGTAAATGTAGTTGTGAGGTCGACGGTGATCTGGTTGTATGTAGACTCGGACATTACATCAATGTCCTTAGGGTCGTTTCCGTACGCGATCAGTTGGCCTTCTTCTTGGAAGCTGTCCCAAATGTTTTCTAAACATTATATAAAAGTACCATATTAAATCAAGTATAGTAGATGTCCCAGTTTCTGTTCACATCACAATTTCTTTTGTCTATTTCGTAAGTAATCTTAAGTCAGTGAATGGAAGTTGTGACGCGAAATTGATTTGATTTGATTGAAATCCTTAAATGTATCCAAAGTTTAAAATAAATTTACCTAAAAATACACCGCTGGCAAGCCCACGAATTCCATTAACAATGGTCGCGTTGTTCTCCAAGTAATAAGGATCGCATTTTAACGTGCTGGTAGTATTCCCGCAGTAGAGCCGATGAAGAACGCCGGAAACGTTCTTGTTGCAATCTTGCAGCACGTTGATATCTTTCAGCAGTCTTCTACCGAGGATGCACATCCTAGAATGACCAGAATTGATTAATCGTGAAACCTTGCCTTCGAGGCGAAGTTTCCGAACTAATCATTGTTCGATTACGAACTTGAGGGCCTCGCTGCCGTTGAAGTTATAGAACAAGCCTACATAAACGGCTATGATCGAGCAGATGACGCAGGCCAGGGCCACCGTTGCGAACTTGTTTACGAATTTCACGCCGATGAACACTATGGTGCCCATGATAATCAGGAGGCCCGTACCGTAAACCCGGAAATTGTTGTACATGATGTTCGGGTCCTTAGTGAAGTCTCCGAATATACTCAGCGAAGGCGCCATGTACGTCTAGAATAAATAAAAAAAGACCGTTTCACTTCTGATCCAGGATTATTGAGAGAAGACTTCTTAAAACGTTAGGGTCAGAAGTATTTACCAAAACAATTTCCACGGCACCTATGATGTACATCGCAGCGGCTAGAGTGGTACCTGTATAAAACAGCATACCCACGGCACCACCGAACTCTGGGCCTAAACTTCTGGATATCATGAAGTAAGATCCACCGGCTGGTACAACGCCATTGGTTGCGATCGCACTCATACTGATGGCAGTCAGCATAGTCTAAAGACATTCATTTGCATATAATAGAGTGAATTCCTAGTTTCAGGTTTTAAATAAAATAATTTTATTCCACGTTTTCGTCTTATTGTTGTATATAGAATCATCACTGATTGTTCTATCAGTTACCGATCAACCTGTATAAATATGTTTAGAAACGAAGGATTAACTAACCACGCAACAACAGCAGAGCACAATGAAGAAACCCTGAATGGCGCCAGCGGTACCAACGACCCAGGTCAAACGGATGAATAGGATCACACCGAAGATGTTTTGAATACAGGGTAGGAAGACACCGATCAGAGTGCCCATCCGGGCTCCACCCTGTACCGGAGGCGATTTCGCGTCAGGATCAGTGGCGGCTGGGATCGTGTTGCTGTAGTCTGACAAGCTGCTGAGCAACGTGGAAATCCGAGGCCGAACTTCCATCTCTTCCTGGAGATAAAAGAAAAATCTGGTCTATAATCGCCCATCCTATAAAATTCTTTGAAAAATAAAGTTATTAGCATTTAAATATTAATAGTCTTTCCTGACTTCCAATTTAATATTGTTTCCTTACTTATTTAATTATAGAATCTTACAGCACATTTTAATTTGTCATAATATAATGAGAAATTCATATAATAAATTCATATACATGTTTTGGCGAAATTAGTAAATATCGAATATTATATTATATGTGATACTTCTTGTTAATTACACATCTTGTTACATATTTTATAATATGAGAATAATGCATATTAAATTCTGTTATATCTCGTACGAATAGATATTTCGTACGATAAGAATTGTTTGTACAGCACAACATTTTAATTAATAAGTCCGCAAATGATCTCGAGACAGCAGCAAAGAGACGAGACGCTCGAAATCTGTCCAACTCCGAGATTGTAATGTCTGGAATAGGTACCACAACTCCCATAGAGCTAAGTATAGTAGAGCAGAGAGGCTTGGGTACGGTCATGCCAGCATGAAACTCATCGTTAATTGGATCGCTTTGAGACCGTTTCCACCTGGTGCACAGGTAGTCGAAAATTCTTGGAAGCCGCTCGTAATAGATTAGATACGAGAGTCCAGAAATAAGTTGAAGCGTTATACACCAACCGTGAATTTTCTATTGTTATTTATTTATTTATTCTTAAACAGACTAGTCGCCCTTTTTATTAAATTAAAAACAGTCGAGGATAACAATTAAGTAAAATTAAGTCTTGGCGTTTTAGATGTTACAGAGGAGAATTTATACAATTTTATCCAGTTGATTAGAAACGAGTGAAAGAGGAAGTGGGAGAAAGGAGAGGACTACGTGAGAGTCGAGTCGTTCTGACCAAGCACGTACTTTTCTACTTACTGGTGATGGCTGGTTTCCTAGAGCGTAGTTCGTAATAATTTACAATTAGGGAATGAACTGGCTTTGGAACAATTGCCCTTCTACATTGTCTGATCACGTACTCTACTTACTGCGATGAATTCAATTAACATTTGTCCAATACTCTCTATGTATAATGTATAATTCTTTTACAGCTCTGAATTTAAAAGACCACTAGGAATCGACCTCCAATTTGCCAATACCAATGTATGGCTTTTTATTACTCTTAAGCCATGAATCTTTAATCAAGGAAGTTCGAGTTCGAACTTATCACTATTTAAGCATATAGGCAACCAGGGAATTGGCTATCGATGAGGTAACGCTATAAGATTCGATTTATATTCGCGTCAAAGTCCCGGCAAGTTTCGGTCAAGTTTCACGGTTGTGTTCCTAATCAAATAACTCCGTCTCATCTAAGCGATACCGCTAATTAAATTAGTGCATCAGCGAGGAACAAACTTTCGAACAGTAAATCAACCAATGTAGAACAATTTCCTGAACAAGAAATAACTATTTTTCATCGTGAAATAAAATACTAAACTATAATTGACTACGAAACGAGGGCACAAAATATAACTCCCTCGAAATTAAAAACTTAAAGAATAGTATAATAAGGTACTCCTGAGCGATGAGAGTTCTGCGAAGGTTTCAAGAAGATGGGGAAACGTCTAACAACCATCTCATTCGGCCGATAACACAGTTGGATCACTTTCAAGACCAATCCCCCGGTCGTAAGGGGGTAGTAGGAACGAGAGGCCGAGCCAATCCAGGTGCAATCTTATGTAACGATCGGCATTCTGACACGTCGAGATGCGGTAAGGAGATGGGGAATAGAGAAAAAGAAGAAATAAAAAGAAAGAAGAGGAAATGGTAGGGAGAATGCAGAGTGACGCAGAGTCTGGGAAACACGTGCCTACGCGTCCCCGGCCCTCCCTCCTCCCTTCCTATCGATACGTCTATAGCCAGTTAATTAACGTGCTCTCTTTGGTACGAGTCCCACCCTCATAGACTGAAACGCGACCGCGGTTTGGTTTCGACCTCAATTCCTGGATATCCAATTATCCGTTTCTCTTCTCGCTGAAACTACGGACTTCTCGCTTCTCTTCCGCGATCCGTTGAAATTATCTACCGATCCCGGGACACGGCCTTATCGCTGATTTCCTCTCCTGCATCCTCTTGTCCCTTGACCCGCCCCTCCGGTCTCCTTCGATCCAGCTACTACTATCCTCTGTCCCTTTATCGGGGAAACGAAGCGAAAAGTCGTTCCCGGGCGCACGGAGTATCGAGAACTTTACTAGCATTTCCGGGCGAATTGCTACATGGCTTTTGTGATACCTTTTTGCGACGCTACTCCTCTCGGAGGACTTCCAATTTCATCCTTTACCCTTGCCCTTTTTCTACAGAGTAACTTGGCAATTAATACTTTGAACAAATTCGTAATTGTGTGTACTGTATACGAGCAGACGTTTCTAATAAGTAGATTGTGGATTTTAATGCAAAATCATATTTTCTGAAACATATTTTGAGGAAAAAAGGAAGATTTTTTTATTTTTGGAATCTCCTAATGTGAGATTTACATCAATTGTTTTATGTATTTTACGAGATTATATGCAATAGGTACATTTTCTTATATATGTTCTATAAATACATAAAAGTCTACAATTTATTAATTTGAAATCAATTAGGAATAAAGCTAGTGATACAAGTCAATGTATAATGAATCAAATATAAGTTGTACGACTTGCAAAAAAAAGAATTGGAATGGAATGATAAATAAAAAAATGCATCGAGCACATTATATGAATTAATGGTTTTATTCTGAAATCAATTATTGAGGCAAACGTTAAGAACAAAGAAAAGGTCATAGTTCAATAGAGGATTGGAAGATAATTGAAATGACTCGGGGGTACGATTAGAATAGAAAAAGGGATAAAAGTGAGAGACACTCGGTTAAGGGAACAATGGCGATGAACGACAATGTTTCGGACAATAAAAAAAGATGCAAGACCGCGGTAGGAATCCGTTCGCGAGTTGCTTGTTCGTTGAACGACAATTAAGCGAATTGCACACTCGAGCGAATCCAACCCTTCCATCTCTTTTCCTCACTTTTGTGGTTTCTTCTTTTTTTTTTTTTTTCCTTTGCGTTTTAATGAAGGACCCTTCATCCCGAGAAAAGGGAGAGCCTCCGTCGCCCCATTTTTCTTATCCGACTTTCGCCGCGTTGCCTCTTATCTACACAGCAGACCCGATTCAAGGACTCAACAGTCGAATTTCCTCCCATCGTCATTCTTCATTTCCAGTTTGGTGACAATTTTAGTGCATCGGATTTTCAATGACATTTCGCATGATCGATGCTACTTTTTCTTGTAAATGTGTATGGAACCCGCAGTGTATAAATTACGTTTAAATACTTACACTGTAGAGGAAGAGATTCGTCTCATATTCCGCCTTCTTCTCGGAATTTCCACCGCCCACCATCGAGTCCCCATCTCCGCCGGCGCCGCCGCCATCGCCTGTAACAGAAACAACATTTTCCTATAATCCATCTGTATTTGTTTCAAAAATAGAATTCTACTAAATGCGACAAAGGATGATAAATTTGCCTAAAAAGCTTTCAATCAATTGCATTTCAATTCAGAGATGAAATATTTGCATTTGGTTTACGATTGAAAAAATGCAATTATAATTTTTAGGACAATTCATATGAATAGAAATTGGAAGATCGAAACGGATCAAACCATGAAAGTCTGTTTCTCGAGTATCCGTCTAAAAGGCGGACAGTCACGGTGAAGTTTTAATAGAAATACGAAGACTAAAGTGGGACACGGTTTAGTTAAAAAGTCTTAATAG